ACTAAAATACAAAACAAACAAACAAACAAACAAACAAAAAAAACGGCCAGACGTGGTAGTGGGTTCCTGTAGTCTCCCAATTACTTGGGAGGCTGAGGTAGGAGGGTGGCTTAAGCCTGGGAGGCAGAGTGAGACAGAATGGCTGGGCTACTGGCCAAACCCCAACCCTAAGCCTGCAACCACGGCCCTAAGTGAAAACAGCTGACCCCATTTTTCTGCCCAAATGTTACCTTTTTGGCCTGCCATGCCCCTATCCTGTGCCCATAATGACTTCAGCTGGCAGAGCAACATAAGCAGCTGAGTAGCAAGCAAAGAAGCCACTGAGTATCAGAGACTGCAGACAGACGCAGCTAACTTCGGAGGGTACGGCTTTAGGGAAAGACCTTCTTCCTGTACCATCCCCATTCCAGCTGCCATCCCACTGAGGGCCATTTCCATCACCCAGTAAAATCCTCCGCATACACTACCCCTTCAATCCATTCATTTGTCCTGATTCTTTCCAGATGCCAGACAAGAACCTGGGTGCCAAGAGGGCAGGGGCTTGGATGCTGCTGCCAGGGCCGTACAGAGCCTGCTCCCACCAGAGAGGATCGACCAACTGGTTCCGGCATTCGTTCACTCTGGTTCCCACACTGCTTGTTCACACATTCCCTCTTCCAAAAAGTGGCCAGCAGTGGGCTGAAAGGAGCCACTCCAGTTCCTGCCCACGAGAGGGGTCAAGGTCAAGGGAATTATCCCATCTCAGGAGGTTGCCATGAGCCAAGATTGCGCCACTGCACTCCAGCCTGGGCAACAGGCTGAGACCCCACTTCAAAAATAAATAAAAAATAAAGTTTGATAAGAAGGAAAAAAGACAGATGCGAATGGTAGATTGTTAGAAGGCTAAGATTAGTGGGAATTTTTATTTATTTATTTATTTATTTATTTTAGAGATGGGGCATCTTGTCATGTTGCTCATGTGGTCTTGAACTCCTGGCCTCAAGCAATCCTCCCGACTCAGCCTCCCAAATTACTAAGATTACAGACTTGAGCTGCCACACCCCACCTACAGTAGGAATTTTTTTTTTGAGATGGGAGTCTTGCTCTGTCGCCCAGGCTGGAGTGCGATGGTGTGATCTCCACTCATCACAACCTCTACCTCCCAGGTTCAAGCGATTCTCCTGCCTCTGCTTCCTGAGTAGCTGGGATTACAGGCATGCACCACCATGCCCAGCTAATTTTTTGTATTTTTAGTAGAGACGGGGTTTCTCCATGTTGGTCAGGATGGTCTCGAACTCCCGACCTCAGGTGATCCGCTCACCTCGGCCTCCCAAAGTGTTGAGATTACAGGCATGAACCACAGTGCCCAGCCTTCAGTGGGAATTTTTAATGAGGGAGGGGGAACATGTCTTAGGATGATAGGAAAGAATTGGGAAAGTATATCTACCAAAAGTGCTGTGTTGATAGTAGAAAAAGATGAGGTTAAAGTGGTGCAAGGATTTGTAAAAGAAGATCTTCTGCTAGGCCTTGACTAAGCAGAGGGTTTCCCAAGCCTAAGGAAGAACATAAGCAAAGGAAGGATAGAACCCAAGTCAAGGTATAAAAGGACAGAGGGGCCAGGCACAGTGGCTTACGCCTGTAATCCCAACACTTCGGTATTGCATCCTCCAAGGTAGGAGGAAGGTTTGCGTCCAGGAGTTCGAGACTGGCCTGGGCAACACAGCGAGACACTGTCTCTACAAAAAAGTTGTAAACCTATTTCAGCCTGGCCAACATGGTGAAACCCTACCTCTACTAAAAATACAACAAATTAGCTGGATGTGGTGGCGGGCACCTGTAATCCCAGCTACTCAGGAGGCTGAGGCTCAAGAATCGCTTGAACCCAGAAGGTGGAGGTTGCAGTGAGCCAAGATTGCACCACTGCACTCCAGCCTGGGCTACAGAGCCAGGCTCTGACTCATAAAAATTAATTTAAAAAATTAGCCAGGCGTGGTGGTGCACACCTATGGTCCTATATACTCAGAAGGCTGAGGCGGGAGGATCACTTCAGCCCCGGAGGTAGAGGTTGCAGTGAGCTGTGTTTGTGCCACTGCACTCCAGACTGGGCAAGACAGCAAGACCCTGTGCAGGGAAAAAAAGAAAAAAAAAGGAAGAAAGGAAGGAAGGGAGGGAGGGAAGGAAGGAAGGAAGGAAGGAAGGAAGGAAGGAAGGAAGGAAGGAAGGAAGGACGGACGGACGGACAAAGGAACAGGAACATTTGAGGAATGGGAAGGGGAATCTTAAATGCAGGAAAATTTGATGTATTGGAGGTACAGTGAGAAATACGGTAGATTATGACTAGATTTTAGTTATTCTGGCAATGACATTGGGAAAGAATTGAGAGTGGGGAGAATTTGGTATTGGGAAGGTCAGAAATTAAATTAATCCAGGCATGTGATAAAGCTCTGGAGCAAAGTATTGGCAATGGGAGGGGAGAGGAAGGAGCAGCCAAGGGAGGCCAAGCAGAGCAACCACAGCTGGATGGCCACAGGGTCATGTGGAGCAGAGACGACCAAGGGCTGGGATGCCACCACTGCAACATGCCACCACTGCCCATGAGTGTTTTCTCAATTGCTCTTACTTCTTTCCATCACAAGAGTCCAAGTCCTATGTGGGGGTGCCTGTGCTCTGGATGCTGAGAGCCATGAGAGGATTTCTGCCCTTAAACTTCTAAAGAGGGAGGTAGAGACCTGGCTCTCACAATACCACATACAGATAATTCTTCCCCAGTTGCAGAGGAGATGGGATGCCAGACAGCCAAAAGGAGAAAAGGTGTCACTACAGGGCCAGACTGAAAGGCCTTATATATGCCCCTCTGGCAGGGGAAAGGGGTACATCTTATGTCATAAAAAAGTGTTGTGATCAACTTTAGGCAAATCATCCCGGGAGCAATATGAGGTTTGGGCTGGAGAGGGAATAGACTGTTGATAAAAAGACCAGGGAAAGTGTGTAAGAGAAGGCAGATTAGAGGAGCATTTATTTCTTGGGGAGAATCACAGGGTCTGGTGACTATAACAATGGAGGAAGTAAAAGAGAAGGAATTTAGGACTCGGTTCATGGCAATGCCATCAATTGATTCTGAAAATACAAGCTATAAAATAGGTTTGTGGATGAAGATGATTAAATCATTAAAAACTAGTTATGTGAAATATACATACTTTACTATAGATCTCAGGAAAAAAAACAGAAATGGAGATGGTGCTTCTGTTCTCACTGAGCCTCACAGAAGGTAACAAAGGTAAGAGAACGAATGAACTCCTCCAGGAAGAAAAAGGGAGGAAAAATAGAACTAAGGACAAATCCTGGGAACACCAGTATTACAGAATCAGTAGAAGAGGAAAAAAGTCAGGAGAGATTCATACCAGTGAAGCCAAAGGAAATAAAAGGACAACACACTGCGGTAGAGAATGGGGAAGTCATCATGGTGACAGGCTGCAGAGAAAGCAAATGATTCAACACCGGGGGAAGAGGATCACCAGCAATTAGCAGGTCAGTGTTGACCTTAGCGAAAGTAGCTTCAGAAGAGACAGGACAGAGTCTAGAAGGCAATGGGTTGAAGAGTGTGCCAGTTACTAACTTATTGCCTCTTAGTTTCAAATTCAGGCCAGGCGAATCACCTGAGGTCAGGAGTTCAAGACCAGCTTGGGCCAACAAGGTGAAACCCCGTCTCTACTAAAAATACAAAAATTAGTCGGCCATGGTGGTGGGCGCCTGTAGTCCCAGCTACTCGGGAGGCTGAGGCAGAAGAATCGCTTGAACCTAGGAGGCGGAGGTTGCAGTGAGCGGACGTTGCGCCACTGCACTCCAGCCTGGGCGACAGAGTAGGACTCCATCTCAAAAAAAAAAAGTGAAGGGGTGGCCTACCCCTCCACACCTGTGGGCGTTTCTCATTAGGTGGAACGAGAGACTTGAGAAAAGAAATGAGACACAGAGACAAAGTATAGAGAAAGAAAAAGCGGGCCCAGGGGACCGGCGCTCAGCATACAGAGGACCCGCGCCAGCACAGGTCTCTGAGTTCCCTTAGTATTTATTGATAAT